AATTATATATATGAGTTTGTAATATTATGGTAATGTTTATCTTCAATAAATTTCAGAATCCGAGCACGTGGACCCGAGAGTTGATTTTATTGACTTTTCGAGCGGAGTTGGGAATTGTTATAAATTGTTCAATTGGACCCCACTAGTCGCTCCAGCTCAGGAGCAGGTACCTGATACAATTGATCCAGTGGGGCAAGCTCAGGAACCAGCTGTGCCTATTGTGATTCCAGGCCTCTAGGAGGCTTTGGCCCATATATTGACAGTTTGCACTGGCCTTGCTCAGGTGGTTTCGGCTCAGGCCGCACCTGCCACTTCTCAGGCTGGAGGAGTTACTCATACCCCTGTTGCCCGTACTCCAGAGCAGGTAGTGCAGGGACTTCAGATATCGGGGGCACTACCAGCCCTGCCAGTAGCAACTGGTCAGGCCCTGGTAGTCACCGTTATGGCTGATGATGAGTAGAGGAGGCTTGAGAGATTTGGGATGCTTAGACCTCCATCATTTAGCGGTGTTGAGTCAGAGGATGCTCAGGGCTTTCTGGATAGGTGCGAGCAGATGCTTCTGACAACGGGTATTCTGGAGACCAGTGGGGTATCGTTCACTACTTTTCACTTTTCTGGGGCTGCCTTCAGATGGTGGGAGGCTTATGAGAGGCACATGCCGGTCGGTGCAGCACCACTTACATGGTAGGAGTTCTCCGTTCTCTTCTTGGAGAAGTTCGTGCCGTAGTCTCGCTGAGAGGAGCTGCGCATTGAGTAGCTTCGTCAGGATGGCATGTATGTGATGCAGTAGGAGATGAGGTTTTCTGAGTTGGATCGTCACGCAATTTGGCTAGTTCCCATTGATACGGAGAGGATTTGGAGGTTCATCGATGGTCTCACATATCAGTTGTGGTTTCTTATGACTCGGGAGAGGGTTTCTGGTGCTACTTTTGATGAGGTAGTCAACTGTGCTCGACATATAGAGATGGTCCGCATTCAGGAGCGAGGTGAGAGGGAGGCCAAAACGCCTTGTGAGTCAGGAGGTTTTAGTGGTGTTCCTTGTGGAGGTCAGTTCTACCACGGCAGAGGTCATCCTTATAGGCATGCTCAAAGGGTTCATCCAATTCACCGTGGTATATCATCCGGCCATAGTTCATATAGTGCATATCAGGGCTAGTCATCTCTCAGTTTCCTTCCAACTCAAAGTTCGTCCCATGCACCTTCCGTTCAGGGCTCATCGGCACCGGATTCTTCTAGCGGGTATTCTGGTGCTCGAAGCTTCCTTCAATCCCCACCGCCATTGACAGGGAGGGGTTATTTCGAGTGTGGAGATATGGGTCACATCAAGAGGTATTGTCCCCAACTTACGGGAGGTCCAGCTCAGCAAGGGAGTTAGCCTACGACTTCAGCACCCGTTACTTCACCACCTGCTCAGCTAGCTCGGGGTGGAGCTCAGTCAGCTAGGGGTCTCCTTAGAGGGAGAGGCCGATCAGGTGGTGGTCAGGCCCGATTCTATGCTATTCCTACTAGACCAGATATTGTTGCTTCAGATGCAGTGATCACAGGTATTATCTCAGTTTGCCACAGAGAGGCCTCTGTACTATTTGACCCTGGTTCCACTTATTCATGTGTATCATCGTATTTTGCTCATCATTTGGATATGCCCCATGAGTCCTTAATTTCATCTCTTCATGTCTATACTCCGGTGGGCGATACTATTATTGTGGACATGTATATCGGTCATGTGTAGTGACCATTGGGAGTTTGGATACTAGAGTTGATCTCTTGTTGCTTAACATGGTTGATTTTGACGTGATCTTGGGTATGGATTGGTTGTCCCCATGTCATATTATTCTGGATTATCACACTAAGACTGTGACGTTGGTGATGCTGGGGTTGCCGAGAATTGAGTGGAGAGAATCTTTAGACTATGTTCCCAATAGAGTGATTCTATATTTGAAGGCCCAGCGGATGGTTGGGAAGGGTTGATTATCTTATTTGGCCATTGTGAGGGATGTTAGTGCTGATACTCCTACTATTGATTTTGTTCCGGTGGTGCGGGAGTTTCCGTACGTGTTTCCTGCAGACTTGCCGCGCATGCCGCCCAATAGGGATATTGACTTCGGTATTGACTTGGTGCCGGGCACTCAGCCCATTTCTATTCCACCATATCTCATGGCATAACTGAGTTGAATGAATTGAAGGAGCAGCTTCAGGAACTCCTTGATAAGGGGTTTATTAGGCCTAGTGTGTCACCTTGGGGTGCACCGGTGTTGTTTGTGAAGAAGAATGATGTTACTATAAGAATGTGCATTGATTATAAGGAGTTGAATAAAGTCATAATCAAGAACAAGTATCATTTTCCGCATATTGATGACCTGTTTGACCAGCTTCAGGGAGCGAGGGTATTCTCCAAGATTGATTTGAGGTCTCAATATCACCAGTTGAAGATTCGGGAATCAAATATTCTAAAGACATCCTTCAGGACCCGTTATGGTCATTATGAGTTCCTGGTGATGTCTTTTGGGCTGACCAATGCCCCAACAACGTTCATGCATCTGATGAATAGTGTGTTTCAGCCTTATCTCGACTCGTTTGTTATAGTGTTCATTGATGATATCCTGGTGTACTCTCGTAGCCAGGAGGAACATGCCCAGCATTTGAGGATTGTGTTGCAGCGGTTGAGGGAAGAGAAGTTTTATGTTAAGTTCTCCAAGTGTGAGTTTTGGCTTAGCTCAGTGGCATTCTTGGGACACGTGGTGTCCAGTGAGGGTGGATCCGAAGAAGATAGAGGCGGTTCAGAGTTGGACCAGGCCGTCCTCAGCTACAGAGATTCGGAGCTTTCTTGGCTTGGCCGGTTATTATCGTCGCTTCGTGAACAGCTTCTCGTCTATTGTATCGCCTTTGACCAAATTGACCCAAAAGGGTGCTCTTTTTAGGTGGTCGGATGAGTGTGAGGAGAGCTTTTAGAAGCTCAAGGCTGCCTTGATCATAGCTCGAGTTCTAGTCTTGCCTTCAACTTCATGCTCTTATACAATGTATTATGATGCTTCTCGGATCGGCATTGGGTGTGTGTTGATGCAGAAGGGTAAAGTTATTGCTTATGCTTCGCACCAGTTGAAGCCTCACGAGAAGAACTACCACTACAACAAAACGTGGTTTTAGTGAAAATTATTTAATGGCAATAACTTAATTGCCGCTACATTATTTAGTGCAGGCAAAACATTAACAACTAATAAATATTTGCCAGCAATAAGTATATTTTTAGTGGTGATTCAAGAGAATTAGTTTGCTAAGCTTTTATTTTTTCTTTTTCTTTTCCCTCCAATTATTTTTCCCCTCTAAATATTCTCCCACCTAAATAATATATCACTTCTCTGATTGGCCTGAAAAAAGGAAAACCTACGCCTCTAAGAATTAGGTCTCATTCTTAAAAAAGCTTTTACAATTTTCATGGTGTAACAAAACTTCCACCTCTAGCAACCAAAATTGTCGCCAACTGAAAGGTATGATTTCTATCTATTAGTTTTATATCTTTCTCTTAATTTCTCTTTATACACCTCTATCTCTATCTCTAACTTTTAGGATTTTGTCAGAATAATTCATGTTCTTGAAGTGAAGGATGAAACTTTTTCTATTGATAATTATAACTTTAATTTGGTTTGCACGTTTTGTTTACTGAGATATATTTATTTTGGTGCTATATCTCTGGATTCTATGGTGCTACTTCTCCATCCCAATTATTTTATATATATTAACTTCTCAAAATTCAAATATCAAATTAAACTTCAGGTTGAACACTTTTTTATCATTCTGATGTGTCAATAGTGAAATTTAATGGTGAAAAAAATCTGAAACTTCATTCCATGGAATTCATGTGGCAAATAAAGAGTTTTTTAAAAAACAGTATAGGTTTTCCACAGTAGTGTTATTTAGTTTTCATGAATTCGTTTTGTATATTGCGGCTTATTAGGTGTTTAAATGGTGTTGATTCATTGAGCAAAATTGCATCATAATGCAGTTTAGTTATAGTTTTCAAGCGGTTGTCTTAGGTGCTTCTTAATGATTATCGTCCTGAAATTGTATCAGGTTCAAGCCGTGTTTTGAATTGGTATATCTTAATCTTCTTTGATTTTTTTCATACCTTTTTTTTGTATTTTCTTTTACTATCTTACCTGAAAAAAATTTGCTCTGCACAATTTGTTTTCGATTTTTCTGTTCAGGAAAGGTAATTTGAATATTTGTTTTTGTTTACAATAAACCTAAGTATGAAGATAATGTATGCGTTAATATTATCATAATGTTTGTCTCTTTCTTAAGTGATGATTCATCTATATGGTTTAGGTTTCTGGTTTATTAAAATTGATAGTTCAGTTATTTTGTTTATTCTCATTTTGTACTTTCGATAGCCCATGTTATTCTTTGCTTTTATTTTGTTTGTAGCATTGGCTTTTTTTCCTTTTACATATGTAGTCTTGTTTCCGGTAAATGAAATAATACATTGTGTCTTTTCTTGTTCCTTTTTTCTCTTGACTGGTGTTAAGTAGAGTAATAACTGATAATCGATGAACAAAGACTTTAATCTATCTCCTAAGATTCACATACTGTGGAGCCTCAAAATAGTACTAAACTAGTTACTTTGCTTTGTCATTAGTAAAAAAACATCATCTTAAAACAAAGGAACTTTCATAGAATGTAGATACAGAAACTGAAGAGTAAGAGTACAAAAATAAACTAGAAACTCGTGTTCTAATACCAAATAAAAGGCAATTCAAAAGCTAGGAAGGTTCGTGGGCCTACATTATTAAAAGATATTTGGAAATTGCCTCGAGGGAAAAAAATTGTTGTGCAATTTAATAATCGTAACTAGCGGCGGACCCAAGTGGTGGTTAGTGGGTTCAATTGAACTCGCTTCACAAAAAGATAATACTGTGTATATGTATAAATTAGGATTAAAGCTGTGTAAATTTTGCATAAATATTTTATTTGGAGTCACTTGACAAATACTATTTTACGACTAAATTTATATACTTCTAAGATTGAACCAGTTTGCACAAAATTCTGAGTCCGCCACTGACCGTAACCAAGACATCGGAAGAGAGGGTCGAAAGCTTGCTAGCTTTCTAGGCATTATCGCAAGAACTCCAGATCTAACACCTCTACATATAGATAATTGGAGAAGTTTTGATATAGAAGAAAAGAAGAAATTGCTAGAGTTTGTAAGGGTATGGAGTTGTTGTTATTGTTATAGTTATTATTGTTATTATTATTGTTGTTGTTGCTGTTATTCTTCTAATAACATGTTATTGATAAATGTTTATTTTTGGTTTTTAGAAAAAGTTCTCTATCCCAACACGTGGAGAAGCGTTTGTCTTAAAGTCAATTGGAAAAAAAAAATGGAAAGATTACAAATGCGATTTAAAAAGTAAATATTTGAAAAAATATAAGACCAAAGATGCTTTGCTGAAGAATAGACCACCAAGTCACATACCAAGGGATTAATGGACTGGTGTTGTTTCTTATTGGCTTTCTGATAAAGCTAAGATATAAACTTTAAAATCTTAAAAATGCACAATTAGTTGCTTATTGTTATAGTCTTTTGATTATTTTCATTAGTTGCTAATTGTTATATTGTTTTGATTATTTTATGTTGCAATGACAGAGGCGTACCCAGGCAAATAGAAATAATAGGGCCAAACAAAATATGCCTCACATAGGAGGATCCAAAAGTATTGCCACCTTAATGGATGAACAGGTACATGTGTAATTATGAAATAAAATATTTCAACACTCTTTTATCGTGCAGATTTTACATCAATTTTATTGTAATAGGCCAAGAATGGTATAGAGCCTACACGAACAGAAACTCTTATACTGACACACAAAAAAGTAAGGATGGTAGACTATTGGATGAGGAGTCTTGCAAAGGCCGTTGTAAGATTTCTTCTCTTTCTTGTATTTCTTGAACTAGGAAATAGATTTAAAAAAAGAAAAACTTAATGAGAATTATTGAATTGAAAATTGGATTTCTGGTATATTAAATTTATCTCTATTGTTAACTATGTTATGCCCTTAATATATCAGGACATGATGAACGAAAGGTTGAGGGATACTGACGAATCAAATGACCAGCCTCCCTGCAGTGTTGCTTGGGAAGGAGATGTGTATTCTCAAGTGTTGGGAAATGATAAAAGTGGGTATGTTCGTGGTTTAGGACTTGGTCCAACTCCTTCTGTGCTGTGGGGTAGTAGATCTTCCTTAGAAAATATTGTTATAGAGGATTCGTCTGATGAAGTTGTACAAAAACTAAAGCACGAGATAATAGAGTTAAAAGAGTTAAATGAAAAACAAAATGAGAAATGAGTTTTATGAGGCAAGAACTATCATGGATGCGGCAAGTCATGAGAAAAATTGCTCCAAATGAGATACATATGCCTCAGAATATCAATGGAGTCTCAACTGGACAGGTAACTCAATTTTAAAAGTTTTAGGCGTATTTTCTAAAATTTTAATCTTATAAAATCATTTTACGTCTTAATATTTATCAGGTCGTTGATACCAACCGTGGCCATGAGCGAATACCACAATCACCCAATATGCATAATGTAGCTGGAAATACTCCGTCGTCTCATGGTACTTTTCTGTGCTTTCACATAAACTTCTTTTTTGTTCTATTCATTTTTTCTTTCTATAACTGAAAAGCATTATGTAAGAAATATATTAATGCAAACCTTAACAGACTGTAGCATAGGATTATTAATTTAGTTTCAACTAGTAATCATCCATCCTGTGAAGTGGTTTTGTGTGTCTTCGGGCCGTTTTGGTTGTATTTACATGATTATGTGTAGCTGACTACCATCCATCATAGAGAGATGTCTTAAGACTTAGAAACTCAAATAAAAAGATATGTCCTCAAGTGAGTTGGTAGAGACTCAGTTTATTATGCTAATACTATTACTGAACTTCTGGACAAATATTAAATCAAAGAGCCAACATAGATTACTCTCCCTCTAGAGTCTCACAGTTTGAGAAATTATGGCTTTACTTTGCTAACATCTATTTCATGCATTTATGAATGATGACTGCCATTTAGATTCACTGAATTTTCACTAAATTTTTATTAGTAAATATCTATGGAAACTATAAAGAAAATTGTTAAGGTACAAGTTACAATCGAGAATTGAATGGTTAATCATTTTGTGGTTATAGACATGTCTGGTGCTAGACCAGTGACCCCAAAATTACTGGTTAATCATTTTTTGGTCATTGATGTTGTGGTAGTTTTGATTGTTTTCTGCCCTTGATGTATGCTTAGTGTTAGGCAAGAATTGGAATTTCTAGAGTATGTCTAGCAGCAACTAGTTTTTGGATCAAGGAAGGTCAAGAGAATGTGTTTACCAATATTGTTTGGCGTTTGCTTAATCTGGCCTGTGGAAAACAATTCCTTTTTCAATACTCAATCCTCAATCATCACCTGGGAATTCACTCCTAGTCAGTAGGCACAATATGCAACTCTTCCATTTCTGCATATATCTAGTAAGCTTGTCATTTTTATTGTACATAGGTTACCCAAAATTATATGTTGCAGTCTATCCATTTGAGAAACACTTTTAGGCTCTGGTCCAAATAACCTTAAAATGCTATTTGTATATATTCCTTGCCTCTCTATTTGTCCAGAATTGGTGTACCTGTATGTGCCTGTACGAGTTATTGTATTTTAGATAGGACTATCATCTAAATGATAGAAATACTAAATGAGTAAAAGGTGATTCATTTTTCACATTATTTATTTTGTTATTTCAGGTTAAACAGTATAATGTGAAAGATTTCAGTACGAGGAAGAGTTGCAGAATTGTTTGAGGGCTTCTACTCTTTTGTTATTATGAATATTATATAGAATTAGTGATAATAACATTGGTTATTTTGTTTGAACAATATAATTTTATCTTACATGTCGTTCATACATTAGTAGGAATTTATAGTTTCTTTTGTTTTTCTAGATTGAATGAAATATATTATGTTTCTATGAGTTAAGTAGCGTATTTTATTAGCATTTTGCAGTTTAAAGATAGTTTGGTTCTTTATTTGCCGCTAATTAAAGGGTATTTTTAATCGAGAACTAATTTGATTTAGCATCTATAGTTGCAGCTACACAATTGTCAAGCCTATGACTTTTAGTGGCAATTTAATTCAATTTACTAGCAATAAAAATGGGCGTTAAAGTGCAAACTAGGCCTCTTATGGAATTAGTTTAGCAACAATTTTAGTTGCCGCTAAATTATTACTGTTAAAGCATGTGACTTTTGGCGGCAATATAGTTCGATTTACTGGCCAAAATATTAGACATTAAAGTACAAATTTAACCTACTATGGAATGGATTTTGCAGCCATTAAATTGCCACTAAATATTTGACATTAAAGCATTCGACTTTTAGCGGCAATATAATTAGATATATCGGCCAAAAAGAATGACCGTTGAAGCACAATCTAAGCCTATTATGAAATGGATTTAGCAGCCATTTAAATGCCGCTAAACTTTAGCAGTTAAAGCCTGCGACTTTTAGCGGCAATAGAACCTAGCTTTACCGGCACTTCATCGAATAGCCGCTAAAGGCTTTAGCGACGCCAGCAACCACGGTTACGGTATATTGCCGCTAAAAGTATTTTTTATTGCCGCTAAAGACCTTTTTTGTTGGTAGTGTATCTATGGTTTGACAATGTTATGATGGAGCGGGTCGTACGCCTCGACATTTCTATAAAATACTCTAATGAAATCGTGCGTAATAATTGGCAAGAAGCCAGTATATTTGTGAGCTTTTCCTGATTGAACTGTGATGACCTATCTGGTAAGGTCCATTATATATACTCCGATTGAGGAGGTAGCTACTATCTGAGAGTTTGAGTTATTGTTGAGAGAAGGATTGTACCACGTATTATACTTGTTACTTCATTTATCTTCTTTGATTTACATCTGTTTACTTCTATTGTATCTGTCTTATTGGACCACTAGTAAGTGTTGATGCCGACCGCTCGTCACTACTTCTCTGGGGTTAGGCTAGATACTTACTAGATACGCGTTGATTTACGTACTCATACTACATTTCCTATACTTTTTATGCAGGTACACATATATCCGGTGGTCTTTGGAGAGTAGAGGCGCGGCCATTTCTGGGACTTTACCATGAGCTGCATTTCATGTTACGATCCACAGTCTACAGAGTCTCCATCAGAGTTATTTATATTTTCCTGTGTAACATGTATTCCAGACATATATTGTATTTTATTATATTTCCTTGTTGATGCTCATTCACTTGTGACACCGAGTTTTGGGGGTTCCTACGGGTTATTTGCTATTGTAGTTCGTGTAAATTCTATTTCACACCATTTCATTAATAAAAAAGAAAATTTTGATTTTAAGGTACTAGAATGAGTAATTAAACTGACTAATCACTGTTGGTTTGCCTGACGGCAGTGTTAGGCGTCATCACGACCACTAGTAGATTTAGGGTCGTGACAGCTTGGTATCAGAGCTCTAGGTTCACTTAGGTCTCACGAGTCATGAGCAGGTCTAGTTTAGTCGTGCGGATCGGTACGGAGACATCTGTACTTATCTTCGACAAGCTACAAGGTTGTTAGGAGTACTTCCCTTCTTGACTTCCTCATCGTGTAGTTTGATTCCATTGAGGCTTGTGTCTTTATTTCCTTCCTACTCAATCTTATGCGACGTGAAGAGCTTGTTATCAATTGGGCGTCGAGGAGTGTAGTGGTACTGCAGACGTGGTGCAGAATATTTTTCCTTGCGTGTTCGGGCAGGCTATTATCGTCGCCTTGCGAAAGAATGTTCGTTTGTTCCAGCTCAGTATTGGTATTTTCTATGGTTTCGAGACTGTGCACGGATTTCTATGATGTTTATGCATTGTTATCGCACAATATTGGTGTAATAGTAAGGTGCTCTTTTATCTGTTGAGGCAGTGAATGGCTTGAAGAGAGGATTTCTCAGTGCATGATTAAGGGGTTCAACATTTAATTCCATTGTAGGAAAGGCAATCGGACTATAGATGTCCATGTTTGGATGATAAAGTAACGAAACTTGATATTTTCGAGCGTGGTGGAATTTTCATTGTGATGCGATGTCGTCGTCCTCGTTTGAACGCATTACGGTTAACCGGTGTTACGATCTTCTTGGATTTTGTCTTCGGGGCAGGGTGTTGTGAAATGTTGCCTGAGGGGAGGTTGCCAGAGATAGCTTGTGTAGCGGTTCAGAATCGAATCGGTATTTCTAATGTTGATGGCTCGAGAAAGATGATCTTCGAAGAGGCTTAGAGTCGGTAACATTTTATTGGTTCAGGTGCTACAGAGATGCATTTTGATTTGATGCAACATTTGGGCAGCAAAGTATGAGGGAAGACATGGTGGGAAGTGTTTCGCGGTGGTTAAAGTATTAGCAGGTCAAGTATGAGAAGCAGAGGTTGAGAAGTTGCTTAAAAGAGATGGTTTAAACGAAGTAAGAGTGGTAGATTAGCATATAGATTCTGTGGTGGGGTAGCCGCGTGCCTTGAAAAAGTGTAGAACAGTTTGGGAATCGTGATAGAAGGTGATTTGGCCTACAGATTTTATTTGGAGTGATGATTACTGTACGAAGAAAAATTGAATATTGCAGAAAAGGGTTTGTTTGAAATTAAGAGTGGTGTTAAGATCTGATTATCGTTTTAGGTGCAATATGACTTGAGTTCGGAAGGTATTGCTGAACTTTCAGTTGATGTCAATAGGGAAGGAGCAGACTTATACAGCTTGTGGGAGAGCATGAGCTCAAGAGAATTTACGGATTACGTGGTAGTGGCAACCAGTGCAACGTCGTTGGAAGATGTCGGTAAAGAATTCCACATGTGGGTTATCTCCTGTGAGCAGGTTAGCGGTGGCGTGATGTGATAAAGCTTCTGCGAGGAATATTACTTGCTACCCGGTAAGAGGTCGAGTGTATGACTGTGACTGGTGATTCAGGATGTTCATGAAAATCTTAACAAAAGACTTCGAGAAGTCTGCCGGGTTAACGGTGCGAAATCATGGTAATTGAGAAGGAGGAATCGTTGTGGGCTCTGCATTATGTAATGGTAGCTTAAAGCTTAGTGGGGGAGCCCCACCATTTATGATTGGATCGTATGGTTGTCTGCTTGTGCGGTTTCTGGTTATCGGTGCGTTGGTGTATTATTTATGACTAAAAAAGGAAATATCAAGGGTAATTCAGCAAAGAACTTGATGGACGTGTGCTATATTAGGCGTTATCGATGCATGTTCAGGTTTATCGGAAGACTCGGAGCTTATGCTTTTGAGAATATGAAGTACAAGTAAAAGAGTTCAGCCGGTTGCTTCTTCGAGAGGGTGTTCATGTGCTAGTAGAGCGTTGGAGTTTGTTCATATTTGGGACCAGGTCAGAGTGGGTGACTCTCAACAACGGTCCTAGTGTTCAAGAATTAAAGTGCAATATTAGAGGAAAGGAAGAAATAGCTTCGGACTCGCGGAAGGTCTTGCAGAATGGGTGCACCAGTTGGAGATGCTATTGTGCACGTAAGGAGGTATGAGATGAGTCATAGGTATTGAGACGATGTGGTCTCACCATTCGGGTCACTCGGGATGAATGTGGATTGTGTTCGTTATGTTGTGAATGGAGCTATCATATTTCTAAGTCAGGTTAAGGGTAAATTGGAAGAAGTTGGGTCGATTAGTAATGGCTGAATCAACATGATTGTGGCAAGGATCAGTTCCTTCGTTGTGTGAAGTTATACATGTGGTTTGTGGTTGTACGTGCGGGCTTGACAGCCACCATGACCTGATTGATTTGGGAGGTATTTGATTCAAATGGCTTTGTTGTGTAAATGGATTCCGGAAGAGTTATGACGGTTTAGATCACGGTCTGGGGTTATGTTTCTGTGGTTTGGGGAATTCAGTTGTGTGTTGCATGGGATCTTTAGAAATGAGCTAAGTGAAAGGTTTCTAGCCGATGAAGTGTTATCCTACTGGTAGTTCAGGAGTTATGATGAATTCGTGTATTCTCACATAGCGGCATGATAGGTGCAGTGAGCGGCATGGGAATTTGAAAGTTGAGGACCAAGGTTGCAGTTCGGTGTTGACAAGAATGTCACGAGCTCGGATGAGCCGGGAAGAATTAGATGTTCAGAGTAAAATGACATTATCCTATGTCGCCAGGGAATGGTGTTCTGTGGAAGGAGCATTGTGTATTGATTTGCGGATTCTTGATCTGCTTTATAGAATTAGTACAGCTAGTGGTATGGATGTGCGCACTTGGCTACCTGGGCGGAAGGTCGTGGGAGCGTACCCCATAGGGAAATTTTATGAGTGTGACATGCTAGTCACTTGATGGTTAAAGATCGAAACCAAGTACGGATATTTTTGGTACTATCGTTAATGTGAGGGTTTATGCTTGGAAGGCGCTCTATTCCTTTGGTTGTGAACTGTGCGGGTTGTGCCGGATTGAGACGGTTTGATTATTCACATGTGTGTTGAGGTCCCGTGTAGCTCGTGGTGTCCTATGAGAAGGATGGCTCTCGAGATGCAGGTCATTTATCGCACCTTAGTCGTGCTTGGGTTTTGTGGCATATCGCGCTATCCGTCCCCCCAAAGTTGTATTTTTTCACTTGGCGTGCTTGTGGCCGATATTCGGTATTCCATTGGTAGAAGCATTATGGCTTGAGGGGTATGTCCTTATTTATTGTTGTGAGTGGATCGGGTTGCACGTCGCGATGGTATCATGTTTGGATCGGGTTGCACGCCGCAACAGTGTTATATCGTGTACGGTTCCCTATATCTATTCCTACATATTTTGTTTCTCATCCTATGAGAAGGGTTCATAACATCTGTTCGACCATTTTATTTGTTACGCGGGCAGGATAATTCTTTTCCAGAGTTCGTTCCTCCTTATGTGTCATATTCGAGTTGTAACTTGTCGGCACAT